CCTTGTATTTTAGTGGGAAAAGACAGACATTTAAAACAGTGAATATATTAAGTAGATGAATTCTCGAGTTTTGAATTCATAAATAAGTGTTCTGATATAAAATATAGAATTATTATATACAGGTTAAAATATATCATAGAATGTTATATATAAGACATAATTATAAACTATATTATAAGACATTCTATATATAATGTTAGTAATAATTAATGTATATATAATATTCTAAGCATACAGAATATAGTTTATAAATAAATTATGCCACTGTAAAAGGAAAGATAAAGGCAGATGGGAAGCTGAAGGGAGCAAGAAGGGGCAGGCTCCATTGGTCAGAGGTGGGCACCATGCTACACATTTTTAATCCTAACAATTTTGTATCCTCCAGATACAAAATACAAATTCGAGGCCAGCCTCAGCAACTTAGAGAGATCCTCTCTCAAAATAAAAACTTTTTAAAGGGCTGGATGTGTAGCTCAGTGGTAAAGCGACCCTGGGTTCAATCTCTAGGACCACCAAAAAAAAGGGCGGGGGAGAGGGAACAGTGGTCATGGAGGGGAGACCCACTGAGAAAGTGACGCTTGAGCAAAAACTTGAAGGAGGTAAGGGTATGTGTTCTATGTAACTCTTTCCATTTCTTTTGGCATCCAAGATGATCAAAACCAAATTTGAGACTCATTACAATACCTGAGAGGCCCCTGTGGACTGTAAATTTGTGGTCTTTTGTCCCTTGGAGAGGCAGGGCAGTACAGTGGCTAACGGCAGTGTGGGTTCCAGTATAAAACTGGGTTCAAACACGGGCCCTCCACTTACTGCAGGACTTAGCACATCATGTTTCGTTTCTCTGAGCCTCTGTTCCCAATGCTTCAAAATGAAGACAATAAAAGTACCTACCTCACAGGGCTCTTTTCAGGATTAAATGAAATAACATATGCAAATTCCTTTGCGCGCACACACTTCATTCCTTTGCTCACAGGAAGAACTCAATAAAAATCAGCTGTAATTATTGAACCTTGCTCTTGTCTCTCAAAATCTATTTACATTTTACTTGGTCCTAACTCTTTTATTCTTATTGATATTTTAGCATTGCTTTATGGCTTCTGTTTCCGTGGTAAGCTACCTCAAATCCTTTGTGGGTTGGGAGGGTTATAAATAAGTAAGTAAATATATAAAAATCTGGGCAGGAGAATACTTTCAACCAAAGCAAAACATTTCATTACCAATAGAGTGAATTGCAAGTGAGGCCAAAAATCAAGAAATATTGACTCTAATTTCTAACAATCCATCAAAAACCACCAGCAAGATGTTTTCTGGTTTTTCAAACCATCCCTTCCCCTCTTTCCCAAACCCCTCTTCCTCCCTCCAACAAGAGAGGGTAAATGAGTCACGCAAAATGACCTAGACACCTCCTAAACCCTCCCAAACTCACATCTACTTCACTGCCTTACGCCTCATAGCACTCTCCTTCCCCATCAGAGAAGAGAAATCAATGGGGTCACTTTCCCCCATGGTTGGGGGGAGGGGGTGGATGCCAGCTCAGTGAGCAGTCAGACCTAGGCTAGAATTTCATTACTGCCATTAACCAGTGAGTGCTGTGGCCACAGGGAAGCCTCCTGGTCTCTCTGGGCTTTGCTTTCTGGTTGGAAATAAGAGTACCTCCCTGCCAAGGTTCTTGTGCAGATGAAAGGGAGAATGCAGGGAAGCAACATGGATAGCTTATTTTCAAAGCCCTCAATAAATGCTAGTTAGACCTTCCTTCCTTAACTGCACCCCAGGGTAATGCTTAGTGGACTGTGGGAATCTGAGTCCCCTTAGTAAGAGAGTGGATGGGATAGAAGTGGGGTGAGGTATATCTCTGCTCGATAGAAACTCACTGAGTGTCTCTGGGAATGTCAGGGAGGCTCCAAGGAAAAGAAGCAAAAGAGAAAGATCATTTTTGAGCACTTAGTACTTTTCAAATAGGTCATCCCAGTTCTTCCTCACCCCAGCCCTTTGAGGTAGGTGTCATTAACCATACTGACAGTCAGAGCTGGGCTTTAAACCCAGAGCACACAGCTAGGAAATTTTGGGAAGGCAGCTCTGGCCTTCCAAGGTTGCCTTAAGGAAGGACAACAAGTTATCACCACAACAATATGTTTTAGTCAGCTTTTTCGCTGCTGTGACTGCAAGAGCCGACCAGAACAATTGTAAAGGAGGAAAGGTTTATTTAGGGGCTCATGATTTCAGAGGTCTTAGTCCATAAGAGGGCAGTTCTGGGCTCTAGGTGAGGCAGAACATCATGGCGGAAGAATGTGGCAGAGGGAAGAGGCTCACTTGGTCAGAAAGCAGAGAGAAAGCATGAGAGAGAGACTCCACACTCCAGATACAAAATACATACCACACAACCACATCCCCAATGAACCACTTACTCCAACCACACCCCACCTGCCTCCAGACCCAACTTAATTAATCCCATCAGGGATTGATTCACTGATTAGATTAAGGATGTAACCCAGATCATTTTTCCTCCAAACCTTTTTGCATTGTCTCACATGAGCTTTTGGGGGGACACCTCATATCCAAACCATAACACAGTAAATCCCAGACAACACTGACAAAAACCTGTGAGGTCCTAGCCCACCTCATCTGTGACTCCTGAGCTAGGTACAGCAGGAATCTGCTTGGTGGACCTGATGAGGACTACCTAAGACCCGCTTTCTCCTCTTACTTCCATCAGCTCCCAGGGCTGTTGCTGTTAAATCATCTCTGCTCTCTGAGATTGGGCTTTGTGATTGGCTAGATCTTTTTTTTTTTTAGAGAGAGAATTTTAATATCTATTTTTTAATTATCGGCGGACACAACGTCTTTGTTTTGAATGTGGTGCTGAGGATTGAACCCGGGCCAAACGCATGCCAGGTGAGCGCGCTACCGTTTGAGCCACATCCCCAGCCCCTGGCTAGATCTTAATTTGAAAAACACACCCTTTAAATAACTTTAACCAAGTCACCTATTCTTTCTGGTTCCCCTTTGGATTATGGGCCTATCAAAATGCCTACCTTCCAAACTTGCCATGGAGATTAAATAGAGCAATGCACTGAAAACATACAAAACAGTGCCTGGCACAGACTAGAGTGCTCATTTATGGCAGCTGCTACAGTCACACTGCTGCCGACATGGGGGGAAATCAGCCTTACTTTCAACCATGGTGTCAATATTCTCAGGGAGGGAAAACAAGGTCTCGAGCATGGCCCACCTGCACATCCATGAAGCCAAGCAGTATAGCCTGGTTACCCCACAACTGCTGTCCCCAAAGGAAACTCCTGGAGGGTAACAAGGATATCTAGCTGGGCTTTGTGTCCCCTCCCAAGAAAAAGAAAAAAAAAGCTAATCAAGGTCCAGTCTAGGGTCTCCTACCAATATCTTTGAAACACATACCTTAGAGCCCTTCTGTGCTGGAGTCAGGGAGAGAAAAGCACCCAGTTCTTCTTCTTGTGAATTCACATTCCACCCAGGGAAAAGATAAGGAAACTCCATCACAGTCAGAATGAGAGCAGAGTGTCTCTGGAAATGTCAGGGAGGCTCCGAGGAGAAAGTAGTATTTGAACTAGACTTTGGGTAGTAAGGAAGTCATGGGAGATGGCATTCCACAGCATGGACAAAGGTCTAGTGATGGGAAAACAGAATACTTCATGAGGATGGAAGACTAGATGGGAGATAAATGAGGAGGCAGGGGGAGCTAGCAAGGTCCATAAGCCTCAGGGGCAGGGAGTACATAATAAAGGTCACAGCTACCATACAGAAAATGGGGAAAGCAGGCCTGCAGTTCTAAGTAGGACAGTCACAGAAGGCTTCTTTGAGGTGACACCTGGAAGATGAGTAAGCCATGTGATTACCTGGGGAAGTGATTCCAAACAGAGAATAATAGTGCAAAGGTCCTGCGGCCACAAAGTGGCTGCCACATTGATGACGCATTAAAAAGGTCAGTGTAACTAGACCTTGGGAGGAAGAAGGAGACTTTGAGGTTACAAAGTTAAAAGGAAATAGGTTCACCAATGGCCCTGCAGGCCATAATGGGGGCTTTAACTTTTACTTGGATTAAATGGACATTGCAGGGATTTCCAGTAAAGGAACAGCATTACCTGACTTAGGTTTTAAAAAGATCATTCCAACTGTTGTGCAGAGAATCAACTGCAGATCAAGGGTGGAAGCTGAGTGACTAGTAAAGAAGCTATTGCAGAAATCAGGCTAAAGAGGTGAGTGACTAGAACCAGGGTAGCAATGGTATGGTGGTTCTCCTGGGCTTCCCCGTGCAAAAAAAAAAACCTTAGGATCCCCACCCTGTATGCAGCCCAAAGCATCAAAAAGCCCCCCTCAGGATGCAGTGTAGGGAACGGGCCAGCAGGGTGCCAGCCTGAGGAATGTGGAGCTTGTGGGCAGTTGCTTGCACGTCCAGGCCCTTGGTGCCCACAAAGAAAGTAAGACAGGTGCTGTCTTTCGACGCATGTCAGGTGGGTGAAGGAAGAGGTGTCCACTCGCCCTCGTTCCTCAGAGAGAGAACACCGAGGAGTGGGAAAACCGGCACCTCTTGCGAGTCCTGGAACCGGTTCTGAGCTACTGGCACTGAGTGCGCCCGGGGCAGCCGCTGCACGTAAGCAGGTGTCAGCACCTCGCGGGAAGCGCCACGGCCCCTGCTCAGTGCACCGCTCTTCCTACCAGGCCCGTCCCCCAGCTCTGACCCTTTGTATCGTTTGCCTCTACCCCCATCCTGTCTGCCTATCTGTTCTACCCCAGGTTAGGTACGCACTGCCCTGTTGGGGTCCCTCTGGCGGTGGCCGTAGCCGCGCAGCTCCGACCCGGGGCTCCAGGAGAAGAAAATCATGAATGAAATGGATGCGGTGCTCCCACTCCCCCGCCCTCCCTGTCCAGACAACCTTGGTTTGGGGGCGGTGCCTGCGGGGACTCCGCTCAGAGTTGCTGGGGGCAGGGGGCGCCTGGGATGGGTTCAGAGGTAGAGGTTAAGGGTGTGTGATCCTCGCCCCCTGGGGACCTGGGCGCCGCGGGAGCTCCCCACCCCCCTCCCTTGCAAGCCCTGCGCAATTCCCCCCAGCGGCGCAAGCCCGCCCGGGGGCGGGGCGGAGCCAGGGCTGTGGGTGCCCAACCGACCCGGCGGCTGCGCTCGCGACTCCGCAGCTCAAGCGCATTTGGTGGGGCGGTCGGGCAAGGGAGCGCGCACGGAGCGCGGGACTGAGCGCCTGGCGGACGGACCGACGGACGGACGCCCCCGCACACGCAGACGCACAGAGCTCGGCGCGGCCCCCGTCACACACACAATCGCGCAGAGACACACACAGGGACACACGCAGACACACGCACACTCGCGCGCGTACATCCTCCCGCCAGCCTGCCTGCCCGCTCGCCGGCGCCCGGAGCCCGCTCTGGCCGGTAAGTGCGGCGCCTCCGTGGGCGCCTTTGTGTGTGGAGCCGGAAGGCGGAGGGCGCGGGGTCCCTACTGGGGCGGCCACGAAGCTGAGACCTCCTCCAGCTCGGAACGGAGGAGCCGGCGCCCGCCCCCGCCACGCCCCCCCGTGGGGCTCCCGGCGCCCCCGGACGGGGGGAGGGGTCTCCCATGCGGGGGAGGGGGCTTGACGCTTGGTCGCCGGGAGGCAGCGGCAGCCACTCCCCGCGAAGCTCTTGCGCGGTTCCAGGGAGAGATCTGGACAGTGGTCCAGGTCGAGCCTCTGCGGCCCAGGCTGGTGCGTGGCTCTTGGCTGCATGGCCTCTCCAGTGTCTGAACCCCAGGAGGGAGGTTGGAAGTCGCCGCCAGACTGCTGGCCTCTAAACCTCAGCTTCCACAGCCTTCTTATCATCGCATTGCCTTCCCGACCCTTTTGCTTTAGGCACCCGCGTCCCACCCACTCGCAAAATAAAAGCCCAATGTGTTCCCCTCCCCCATCATATTGCTTTTTCCTGGATGAGGCCCAGGTTCCTGCAAAACCCATAGATTGCCCAGGTCAAAACCTTGAGGGGCTGGAGGGGTCCCTGGATGTGGTCCCTTACCCAAGAATCGCACATCTTAGCTGGTCAGGACCAGAAGAACCTTGGGAACTCATTTAACCCCTTCATTTTACAGATAGGGAAACTGAGACCCAATGAGGTGGTTTGACCAAGGTCACCGGAGAGTTAGTGGCAAAACCTGCATTAGAATCTGGGATCCTTGGCTTTCATACTCAACCCCTCCCCTCCCACACACAACTAGATCCTATTCCCATTGAAACCACAGAACCCAAAAATTAACCTAAGAACCACGAATATTTGTAATTCCAGCCCTGCCCCCATTTGAAGCGGCAAGTGCCATTCATTTGCTACCATTTTTACTGTTTAAAAAATGAATAAATAATTGTCCTTTCATTTGTTTCATTCATCCTCTAAGGCGAGCTGTTTTGCAAGCACTCCAGGTTTAGGATTAGTTTGGGAGAAAGAAACAGCTCTGGATTGGAGATGAGATTCCAGGGTGTTAGTCCCAGTCCTTCCAAGAGTCCCTGAGCCTGAGAGTCTTCAGCTGGCCCAGTGGCACTCAAGGATTCATCCTCTTCCCCCACTTTGACTTACTGCATCCCTCCCAGTCCCTCTCCCCTACTCCTTAAGGACCCAGGTTTTCTAATCCAACAAGGCTACCTCTTCTTCCTTGGTGTTTGTTAAGCGCAGCTTCTTGGTATTGCTGACAAAGCTACTAGAGAAGCTTTAGTTACAACTACACCAGGTTCCAGAGTGTCTCAGCACAAGGCTCAGTCAAGGGCAGCTGGGTGTCCCCATAGCTGATCCCCATGCCTGGTACAGAGGGTGCCCCCAGAGGTGGGTTGAGGGAGTGCTAGCATAGGTGTCTGGTGAAGGGATGAAGTCCATCACCTTCCAAGAGACTGAATAGAATGGTTGGCAGAAGGACAATGTTCAGTCTCTAGGGGCCTGAGGCTCTGTCTCAAGAGCTTCTTTCTTGAGTGGGCTGAACTGAGCCAGGGGGCCAACTGGCATAACTCCAGGGGTGGTCCCTGGCATTGTCCTCAAGAGGCACGGTTTACAGAGACACAGACACTGTAATGAACAGTAGCCCTGGCTTTTTGCTATGCAGAGGCTTCCACTGTGAGAGTGCAGAGAGCAGTGTTCCAGGCCAGGCCAAGGCTCTTTGCTGGCTGTACAATTTCAGTAAATGCTCACACTCTCTCTGCATCTCAGTTTCTCCATCAGAAAAATAGGATTGTGAGATTGGAGATTTTCAGGATATCTTTCAGGTCTGAACTATGTATTGAGGAAAGGTGGGAGGGGGAAGGAGAAGAGCACTTTTATATAACTATTATGGCCCTGATTTCCTCTGCTTTTACTCTATGAGGGTATAATTCCTGACTTAAAGAGATAATAATGTAGGTAGGATACTGAGCACAGTACCTGGGGCATAGAAAAAGCTCAAGAATTTGGTAACTATTAATACCATTAGGGCCCCAGCTTTATAGATATTCCCTCCACTTCCCTCCTTCAAATCATCCAAGGACATGGGATTTTTAAATCCTTAAAGTCCTTCTCTCTCAAAACAATCTCTTCCCTGTGACCTATTCCTGGATTTAATGCTCAGACAGCCTAAGACATCCATCCTAGGAGGAACAATACTTTTATTTATCAGTTATTTTGCAACATAATGTAAGTAATAATATGTGTGTTGTATGTGTGTGTACACATATAGTGCCAACACTTTCCTTACGCTTTAGCTTTTGTATTTACTCTTCATAACACACTCACAGTAGTGTTATCGGGCCCCTTTTACAGAAGGGGAAGACAAGACTCTGCTTTTAGCTTTTCTAAGGGTGCATGCCTTAAGAGTGTCGGAGCCAGAGAGCTAGGTTTCCAGCTCAGATGATCTGACTCTAGAATCTCAACTCTTTTTTCTGTATCATATTGCCTGTCCTTTCTGGAGACTTGCCCTAAAAGAGAGACAATAACCCTCTGGAAAGAGTAAAGAAGAGGAGATTTATCCTTCTGGAAGATCAGATGGCTTCTCACAGAAGCTAGGTGGCACCTGAGCTAGGTCTGAAAATCTTGTACATTAGAAAGACTGGAGGAGCATTTCAAGAAGTGGAAGTGGCCACTAGGAAGGACTTCTAGGACATGAGCAGAGCAGTTCATTCCAACTGGAGCAAAACAGATAAAAGAGGAGTGATGGGAAGGAAGGCTGGATCGGAGGGGCAGAGGTAGTTAGGGCACTGAGTGACAAACTAAGGGGTCAGTCTTTAGTTTGAGTAGGGGAGACACATTTTGAAGTGTAAAGAAACTCACTCTGCCCCATGGAGAACAGGTTGGAGGTGGAGAGCCTGCTGGCAGGGAGCCCAGCTAGGAAACGCTGTCGGTGGTGGAGGTGAGAAATAAGGAGGGTCTGGACTGAGGTGGTTTTAAGAATGGGTAGAAAAAGGAGTTGATGCAAGAGGCCTCAGTGTCACCAAAACCCAATTTGATGGGGGTGCTACAGGGAGGGAGGAATAAGTGACAGCAAGGCTTTGCAGTAGAATGGATGAGGTTGCCATTCTAGAAGAGCCCAGCAGGATGGGGAGTGGGGAGGCTTAGAAAGGAACCATGACTCTGACGGGGAACCCTGACGATCACTCCTGCAGTGCTGGCTCACCAGTCACCATCCATATTGTCAAGAGCCAGTTCATTCATTCATCCCATTCATTCTCCAATGAATGTGAACATCTCTGATATGCCAGGCTCTTGTAGGCTCTGGGGATGCACGGCTGAAAAAGATGAACTTCCTGCCTAAGCTTTCCCAGGAGAGACAAAAAATAAAACCTAAGCATAAATATTTCTTATGGAAAGCTGTAGTCTGGAGAAGAGTAAAGCAGGATGAAGGGTTACTAGGGGCACAGGTGAAGGAAGAGATTTGCCTTTAAACAGTATTGCCTTTGAGGCGTGATATCTGAACAAAGCCCTGAATGAAGCGAGGAGACCAACTGGAATAGCTGTCAAAGAAGATAAGTGCAAAGGCCCTGGGGTAAGAGTAGCTCAGTGTTTTCAAGGAACCTCAAAAGTAGCTGTAAGAGATAAGCAAAGGAGAAGCATGGCAGAGAAAAAGGTAGGAGAAAGGGGCAGGGCCAATGGTGTAAGTTCTTCAAGGCCTAAGAAATGAGAATTTGCATGGGGTTAATGGGTCCAAGAGAGCTTGAGTTCTGTTCCCCTTGGGTACTTAGTGCCTAGAAAAATAACCCTGACTCTACTCAGTGGCTCACTAAATAGTTAATGAATGTTGGAAATGAACATTTATGTGGGAGAATTCATATGTTAGACTTACTATGACCCGCTATATAATTGTATCAAGGCATAGTAAGGACATAGTAGGCTGTGGTCTGATCACAGTGGTAAAGCTTAGAGGACTTGAATGTCTGTGTTGAGATTCAAATATGAATTTTTGAGTCAAATCTGCATATTTTCTTCAGTAGGGCTTGATATTAGAAACTGCTGTTGACTAAGACTAAATAGCAAAACATACCTGAAATTACTGTAAAACAATTAAAATGGTGACATCTGGGGGTCTTCCTTCATCCCCCTCCCAGCACAAAGGCACATCCTCCTGGCCTCATTTCACCTTTCCCTTGCGTAACTCTCATGCTCTTGGCCATTGCCCTCAGAAGGGCCCATATTTGTAAGAGAAGACATCTTCATCATCCAACACCCAAAAAGACAAGTGAGGAGAGAGAAATCATTTATAGGAGTAGAAATTCTTCTCTGACACTTAAATAATTATTTGTATGAATCTACAAGTGGGAATGGGAGAACTCCAGAAGATAGCCAGTTATGTAAAGCACTCAACTGCATTAAACTGGACCCAGGACATGTGCATATTTCAAATTATATGGCACCTGATAAGCAAATATGTAACCAATTCACCAGGAAATATCTCTGAACTAGTGTTCCTGCCAGTATGGATCAGCACAGCTGTCTGTATAAGTGTCCATGTTCTAATCCTAAACTTACCAGTGAGCAAGTGACCTGGGGTAAGGTTCTCCCCATCTCCCAAACTCAAGTTTTCCTTATCTCTGTGAGGTAAGGCTTGGGTTTCTAGGGCCTCTGAATCCCAAAGCTGTTCTGGCCTGGCCTGTCTGTGGGCCCACATTATTGTCTTTGAACAAAACAGTGTTTGTACTCAGTGTGGACCCCGTGGTGCTCAGATGGTCTTGGTGGGTATGAGGCATGATGGGTATGATCCTGCTGTGGAGATTAGATGGTCCCAAGAGCAGAGGAAGCCAGGTATCATGTTGGATCTTATGATAAGCAAATTGACATATGGTCTCAGCCTTAGAATCATAGAATCTCTGAGCCTTCTAGTACAGACTCCATCCAGATCAACAGATCTGTCGCCTCTAAATTGGAAACTCAGGTCATCCTAAGGGGAAAAAAAACCT